AGTCCATAAGGCTAATTCATGGGGTTGAAAAGAGTTGGACACGACTGATTTTCACTTCACTTCACTCTGCTGGTCACTCTGGCTCAAAACTTCAGTCATCTTTGTCTACTCCTTTCATTCTTTACACAATGTGTCACCTATAGAAAATTCTGAAATCCCATAAAAACAACATGTAGGAGATACAATAACTTATAATGGAACTATTTTGGATGATAAGTAATGTATTATTATGGTCATGTTCCTATGCAAGTATAGATTTAATTTCCTTTATGCATGAACAGTCTCATACATTTTTAAAAGTTTTTTTCCCCACTTTCTTCTTTAAAGGAATGCTTTAATTAAAGCACAACCATTGTACAGAAATGTACACAATCAGAAATTGATGACTTTTCATGAAATTAAATATTCTTCTATAATCACTGTCAAAAGGCTGCAAGGTATTCCATCCCATAGACATACTGTAGTTTAGATAAGTAACCCCTGCTATAGGATTTCCGGCTTTTTCTAGTATTCTCACGCCTCCCTCCCACAGTGCTCCTGTCAGCTACAAACTGGTACTTGCCATCTACCTCTACAAGGATTAAATCATACTGACTTTCAACAATTCAGGGTGGAGGGCAGAAATAAGCCACTCTCTGCTCTGGGGAAAACTGGCAGAACAAGTCTTCAGAGGGTTAAATAATTTCAGAGTCGATTTTATGAGCCCAGTTCTTATATCTTCTTACATCCAGAGAAGTCCTAAAGTCCTTCATGGTGATGACTGCTTCTGGTGACTAGCAGAAACATTCTGCCAAACAAAAGAAAACGTGCTTGACTGCATGTGCTCCCTCTTTACCAAAACCACATATCCACTGACCTTCCCCTCCACCTCTTTGGAGCAGTTTCTCAGAGCTATCTGAGATGCTGTCTCCTGGGCTCTAGTCCTCATTTTGCCCAAATAAAACTTAACTCGCAACTCTCACATTAGCATTTTTTCTAAGTTGGTACTACAAAGATTAATTATCTGTACTTTACATTGTCCATTTCTAATTTTTTCTTTAGACAAAATTCATAGAGGCAGAATTTCAGGGTCAAAAGTTATTTAAAAATACATTTTAAATTTCACAATAGCTTTAGGTTTCCAAGAAAATTCAGAGGTACTACTGTTCCCACATACCTCACACTCAGGTTCCTCCATTATTAACATCTCACATTGGTAAACAATATTTGTCACAATTAATGAACGTTGGGACATTATTATTTACTAAAGCCCATAATTTATCCAGATTTCTTTAGTTTTTACCAAATATCCTTTTTCTATTCCAGTATCACATCAGGATACAATATTACATTTACTTGGCACGTCTCCATAAGCTCCTTTTGGCTGTGGCAGTTTCTCAGACTTTATCTTTGGAAATCTTGACAATTTTGAGGAATACTGGTCAGACATTTTGTAGAATGTCCCTCATGTGGGGGCTGTTCACTTTTTTCCTTTCATTGAGACTGGGACTATGAGTTTTAGAAGGAAAGTATCACAGAGATAAAAAGCCATTTTTGTCATATCATTGGTAGTGCACATACTATCAACATGATTTATCACTGTTGATAATAACCTTGATCACCTGACTGAGGCAGTGCTTGTTTAGTTTCTCCACTATAAAAGGTACTCTCTTTTGTCCACTTTTCACATGGTACTCTTCATAAGGAAGTCACTGCACAGTCCACATTTAGAATGAGGAATTAGGCCTCATGGTGGAGTATCTATAAAAATTGTTTAGAATTCTACACCAAAGACTTACCTCTCCTTCCCCACTTATACATTTATTTGTATAAGTGATTCATTTACCCCAGTTTGACTATGGATGTTACCTTTCAGTTTAGTTCAGTCCAGTCGCTCAGTCGTGTCTGACTCTTTGCGACCCCATGGACTACAAGGCCTCACTGTCCATCACCAACTTCTGGAGTTTACTCAAACTCATGTCCCTTGAGTTGGTGATGCCATCCAACCATCTCAGCCTCTGTCATCCCCTTCTCCTCCCGCCTTCAATCTTTCCCAGCATCAGGTCTTTTCCAATGAGTCAGTTCTTCACATCAGGTGGCCAAAGTGTTGGAGTTTCAGCTTCAGCATCAGTCCTTTCAGTGAATTTTCAGGACTGATTTCCTTTAGGATGGACTGGTTGGATCTCCTTGCATTCCAAGGGACCCTCAAGAGTCTTCTCCCACACCACAATTCAAAAGCATCAATTCTACACTTCAAGTTATAATCCAGTACTACTTTTTTGTTACTCAAGGCAAAGTGCATCTTTAATAGTCTAACTCACTACGACGCTATCCTGCCAAAGGCTGTACAACTCCCATAGTTAGGAAATGAAGATTCATTTCCCTAACTTCCACACGCCTGTATAAAGCCGGTCAGCAAGCAAGGACAAGGCCCCTCCCTAGGGCCCAATTTCCTGACGTCTCCAAGGCAGACGAGGCCTGCACGGGGAAGGCTCTTCCCCAAGATGGGCACCTCAGCGCCACGGTCCTGTTAACCCCGGCCCTTGGTTTGCCCCCAAAACACCACCGATCCTGAGCCCCTCGCCTTCCTTCCGAGTTCTCGTTGCCCCCAGCGTCCCACGGGACGGAAGTGGCCGGGGCTGCTGGCAGGAAGCGCCGTGCTGGGGCGGGGCCTCCCGCGCCGCCAAGTTCCTCCCATCCCGCCGCCGCCCCACCCCTCCGGCCCAGACCGGAAATGAGGTCAGAGAGGAAAGCTCGGGCGGGGAGACTCGGCCCCTCAAGCGGCGGCCTTTGGAGGTGGCTGCGGCTGCGGGTGAGGGGGACTGGGCATGAGAGGGTCGGGGTCGCGGGAGTCGGCGCCATCGGGGTTCCGGGCTCTGGGCCGCGGCGCAGCGACCGGAGGGTGTCAGGGGGGCGGCAGAGGCTGGCGGGAGGGGGTGAGGGTGGTGGGCCTTGTTTTTCAGGGCCCATCTCCCCCCGAATCCGAGAGGGATGAGGGTTTCGGGCCATCTGCCAAGCGACAGTCATCTTCTCTCTCCTCTACTTCCTGGCTCTTTTGGGGCTGGCGACAGGGTTTGGTGTCCCGAGCTGTGGTCGCCCTCGTCCTCGGGGGCGGGCCCCTGACGTGGGGGGAGAGCCCTTGGAAACACATTTTTTTTTCCCTCATAGATGTGGTCATGTTGCGACCCCTGGCACGGAGGGAGTTTAGATCGCCAGGGCTTGCGTCTTGGCAGTTTCTGCCCTGGAAGAGCTGACTCCCTGCTCCTCGGTCGTCCCAACTGATAAGTTCTCTCCTGTCTTCCCCCAGCGTCTCCCCCCGCCCCAACCCGGTCTCCACCTACACGACCCTGCCCCTGCCTGCCTCTTTTTTTTTTTTTTTAAACTTCTGCTGGTTTCTGGTCCCTTCCTTTGCGCGATTCGGACAGCCTTGCCTCTCCCCGAGTGCTTGCTTGCCTGGCCCCGGATCCTCTCGGACGGTGCATCCAGGGAGGGTGGGAGTTCCAGGGTTCTTTTGTCACCTGCTGTTCCAATTTTTGCAGTCTTTGAAAGGCTGGCATTCGACTGCACAGGCAAGGCATTCAGCTTCTAGTTGTTTGGTAACTTCGTTCCGTGTTAAAGTTTGTACAGTTTTACCCGAGTTTTTAAAGCAGTATTTCTCAATGAGGGAAATAGGTAAGTGCGTCCCTGCTACCTATTTGGTTTTTAGGGATAGTTGTCTCTCCAAACCCCCGTCATGGCATTTTTAAACTACTTACTGCTTAAGTGAGTCTGGCTTTTGACACTTTGAGAAGTTTTGTTTGGTTGGTAGTTTTGGAACAAGGTGTCGCCATTGCTCCTCCTGCCTTTGAGTTGGTTGGCATGGGGATGGCATGAAAATAGGTTTTTAGAAAGTCCTTTGCAAAATGTAAACTGTGTGAACGGAAATACTGTTTGAGAGTGGCACCATAGAGTTTTAAGCTCTAATTATTGTCTTGAAATAGGTTGAACTTTTAACGGCTAGGGACAAAGTGCTAATTTAACAAGTATTTATTTAGGTGTACGAAGTATGTTACACATTTCCCTTTAAAAAAGGCGTTTTGAAAATTGTTCCTCCTGCTCTCTGCCTCTGGAAGGTTTGCCTCTGAAGTGATCCCTGAAGTATGATGGTTTTGAAAATAATGAGTTGGAAAATAGGAAATTTTGGAAAGCTGTTATCTAGAAATCTTAGAGACTACACGCATTGTCATTTCAGCCTCAGTTATATCCTGTTTCTGTGTGATTGTCTGGCACCGAAGCACAGAATTTGGATGATCACTTTACTTTCTGAAGGAGAGTGAGAAGAACTTAAAAGTTGCTAATTATTCACAAGTTTATGACACACTCTTTAAAGCTCTTTGCTTCATAGCCTCTGGGTGGTAGCTGGAACCAGAGTGAGTGCAAAGCGTCTTTATTTTTTTTTCCCTGTGCACGCTGCAAACCTGGGTCACTACAGGTTCTTGGGTCACCAGAACTGCAGGCAGCCCCGTAGAGTGCGTCACTAGGTTGTGTTTCTGTTTCTGCCAGGACGCTTCTTCTAGGGACCCAAGACTACAGAACAGTCTTTTCAGCTATGGTTTTGAAGTTAGTGTTTTTCTGTTCCTGTCTAATGAGACATTCTCTAAAGCTTTTAGATCTCATCATCAGGTAATTTTGTTGAGCAAGTTTAATTGGGAAAAGGGAGCGCTTTATTCCCCTGAGTTTGCTTGTTTTTTCTAATAACCCACTTGTCATCTGGTGAGTATTTTGAGTTTTTGTGCTTAAGAACATGATGGCTATAGGCATTTAACAAGGGCCAGACACCTATTTTTAGTGACTTAATGGAGCATGGATGGTAGGAATATAATCTTAAGTGTAGCCAGGTGAACACAGGTTAATTTTCTATAGATGGAGTGGACTCTGCGGTGCCACAATCTATTTAAAAAATTATCCTAAAGCAACAGATCCTTTTCAGTCTTTCTCTTGTCTTCTTTTCTTCTGAACCTCCTTTAGGTAGATGTGGCCTCATGGATGAGCTGGTTCATGACTTAGCCTCAGCCTTGGAGCAGACGTCTGAGCAGAATAAGCTTGGTGAGCTCTGGGAGGAGATGGCTCTGAGCCCGCGGCAGCAGAGGCGGCAGCTTCGCAAACGGAGAGGCCGGAAGCGCCGTTCAGACTTCACTCACCTGGCAGAGCATACCTGCTGCTACAGTGAGGCCTCCGAGTCCAGTCTGGATGAGGCTCTCAAGGACTGTCGAGAAATGGCCCCTGTCACCAATTTCAGTGACTCTGATGACACGATGGTAGCCAAACGGCACCCAGCTCTCAACGCCATTGTTAAGAGTAAGCAGCATTCTTGGCATGAATCTGACTCCTTTACTGAAAATGCACCCTGTCGACCGCTCAGGCGCCGGCGGAAGGTGAAGCGAGTGACGTCAGAGGTGGCTGCCAGCCTTCAGCAGAAGCTCAAAGTGTCAGATTGGAGCTATGAGAGAGGCTGCAGGTTCAAGTCGGCCAAGAAGCAGCGTCTGTCCCGCTGGAAGGAGAATACTCCCTGGACCTCATCAGGTCACGGGTTGTGTGAATCAGCAGAAAACAGGACTTTCCTAAGCAAAACGGGAAGGAAAGAAAGGATGGAGTGTGAAGCAGATGAACAAAAACAGGGCTCTGATGAGAACATGTCAGAATGGTGAGATCTCCCTTACTAAGTCAAAAGATTTTCCTGATTAATTTTACCCAGAGCACAAATCCAGTCTTGATGATTTCAACTTTTTTTCAAACCAGCCTCTGATAAATACTGACTTTGTAGCTTTCTTTTAACCAGTCAGGTTGTGTTTATCTCTGGCTTCATGATCCTGTTACCCTGTATCAAGAAGGCTATATTTTATAGCAACACATTTATTTCTGAAAGTCATTTAAAATGTGTACCTCAAATGCATAACCGAGAGTTTTATTTTTAAAACATTTTGCTGCTCTTTATGCCATGCAGTTCAAACATACATAACTATTCTTTATGTATAGTTATGCTGAAGGAGGGCCTCAGCAGAGACGTGTGTGTGTGTGCGTGTGCGTGTGTGCGCGCGCGTGTGGGGGAGAAAATGCCGGCGCCAGGCATATGGAGTTTATAAATGTCCTTGGTGATCTGCCTTTACCCATTAAGAATCATGGCTTTAGATGGTGATATCTCTGGGCTCTATTTGTGTTCTCTTCTCCTTACAATGTAACCGTATGGAGTTTATTTTAATGGCTGACATTCAAGTTGTCGAAACACATGGTAGACTTTGAAAATAACAGTACTGAATCCCATTAGTCTTACACCAAATGTCATTGAGCCAGCAAAATTTGCTCTGATGGGTCCACGCTTAAAATGTCAGTGTAGTTTTGGGTGACTTTTAAATTTTTTACATGTCAAATAGGTAGTCTTAGAAACATCGATACTCCCCAGCTTGATGCTTTAATGTTGTTATGAATATTAATGTATGATCTGTTTCTCCATGCTGATGCTGTTGGTGTTTTGGGTGAGGCAGTTCTTTGTGATGAGGGATGTCCCATGTTTGGCGTCCTATGTAGTTCTCACCACCCTTCATAGTATCAAAACAAATGCCTTCATGGATGCTTCCTCGTAGGGTTGAGTACTCTCAATTGAGGACCAGTGTATTACTGTTACTGTTGTGGTTTAGTCGCTAAGTTGTGTCCTACTCTTGTGATCCCGTGGACTGTAGTCCGCCAGGCTGCTCTGTCCATGGGATTCTCCAGGCGAGAATACTGGAGTGGGTTTCCATTTCCTTCTCCAGAGGATCTTCCCGACCCGGAGTTGAACCCAGGTCTCCTGCATTGCAGGCAGATTCTTTATCGACTGAGCTATGAGGGAAGCCCTTAACAGTGTTAGTTAGCATTTATTAAGCACTAACTGTGTGCCAGGCCCTGTACTGTTGTGCAGAACACATATTCTTTTTTAATGTTCACAACTCCCCTGTCTGGTAGGGACCACTGTTTGTATTTTATAGACGAGGAAATAGAGCTTATGAGTGTGGAGATAATTTGCCCAAGGTCATCTAGTAGCAAAACTGGGAATCGAACCTAATTCCATAGCTCATATGTGTTTCATTGCTCTTTGAGCTTGCTTTTTCCATGGCACTTTTCTGTCTCAGCTTAACTTTTACAACTGATAGAACAGATGATCTTTCTTAGGGTTTTGCTTCTTCTGACATTTGTCTGAAAAACAAAGGTGTAAATCTTAGGAACTTCAAGGTGAGACTTTGTCAGGAATAGGAAAAGCTATTCAGGTCTGTATGCCTGTACCTTTCATGGATGGTTTTTAATCTAGCTTTAAAATTTTTTCTTACTAACTTTATGTTTGCCAGGCTGTGCAGCTAGGTGGGGCTTCCCAGGTGGCTTAGTGGTAAAGAACTTCCCTGCCACTGCAGGAGATGCAAGAGACAGGGGTTTGATCCCTGGGTTGGGAGGATCCCCTGAAGAAGGGAATGGCAATCTGCTCCAGTACTCTTGCCTAGAAAATCCCATGGACAGAGGAACCTGGTGGGCTACAGTCCATAGGGTTGCAGAAAGTCGGACTTGGTAGGCTTATAATTTGGCTCTCCTGATTTTCCTTCACTGTATATTCTAGGGACTTTTTACCCAATTTAAATGTATGATTTTGGATTATAAACCCTTTTTTCCCCCTCATCATGCTATATTTAATCAGACAAGAAATGCTTAGTTAACTGGTATCCTTTCATAATGGTGAAACTCTCAATTGAGGTGTTCAAGTTTGTTTCAATATCAAGCTTACATGCCAAATAATAATCATCTTACTATTAAGAATGACAAAGAAACAACAACAGCTTTTTGGGATGGTATTTTCGGGTGTATGTATTTCTTCCCCAGAATTTCTTGTTAGACTGTGACTTAATTGTGTGTGTGAGTGACTGTTAACTCTGTCTTCTGTCTAAGATCACAGCCCAAGTGTGGTTGCAGATACAGAGCCTATAACTTTGCAGTGAGGCACTTCAGTCTTTCTAGGTCCTTCTTACCCCAGATACATCTGTCACACGTTATAGTCAGATTGTGATAATACGTATCTAGTTATCTGCGAGCTTGGGTAAGTTGAAGTAGGCCGTAGTTCTTAAGAAATTCTTCTCTTTTCAAATTGAGGAGACCTGTTCCCAGATTGGGGCTATCTTCCTGGCGGATAACTTCAGAGTTCTTTCAAAGAACAAGAGATTTTTGGTGGACACCAAAATCCTTGTAGCTAAGGGAATATTGGGTGGAGAAGTAGCAGACACAGAATGAGAAAAATTCTTTAGAGTGTATTTAGGAGTCTTCAGCTCACCTTGACTGATGCTGATTCATCTTAGTTACAAGCAGATGTGCTTTGTATTTTTCCCCTCCTAAATATACTCTATGAGGAAGGAAGGTGATTCTTTTTTTTGAGGGGGGGGCATGCCTTGTGACATGTGGGGTCTTAGTTCCTTGAACAGGATCCTGTGTCCCCTGCAGTGAAAGTGCAGAGTCTTAACTACTGGACCACCAGGAAAATCTCATGGTGATTCTTAGTTATTCTTTGACTGCACATTATGTTCTGCCTGTCAACAGTAAATTGGAACCAAAATCTCTGCCTTAGATTATTAAATGCACCTTATAAACAGGACTAGCATTGGCATATGTTTTAAGTAGGCAGTAATTCATGATTTAGATGTTATACTGTCTTGGTGAGTTGATTCTGTCAAAAATTTTCAACCTTTTTTCTGTGTTAAAAGAAATCCTTTTAAGAATCCTCTTGGTTATTACTCTGTCATAAATCTGCTTGGATGTGCCAGTTTGCATACAGATCAAAGTGTAGAACTTTGTATCAGTGTTTTTGAGGGTTGGCAGAATATGTGATCCAGTTTGTAAAATTATTAGGATGAAGTTGATCATTAAGCTTTACTTTGCCTAGTGAATAGATAGTTCTTTTAAAAAGCATATATTAGGTGTTTTAAGTTTGAAAATCTATGTCTCGATCAGACAATTTTATTTCTACTTTCTTTAAAATTTATTTTACTTACAAATATAGAGTAGTTTTAAATTTAACCTATAATTCTTTTTGCTTTTCTGTTTCTGTTCTTTCTTCAATTCTGTACCAACCAATCCCTCAAGAGTTCTGAGGCACTGAAAGTGGTTATGATGTAAAAAGCTCAATTATTATTTTAATATTTTTCCATTCGTGTGTGTTCCATTCTAGAATGGATCAACTCTTTTGTAAAATTACTTTCTACTGATCTTTATTCAAATTGTCTGTACAGTGACTATTAATTAGGTGAGTCATAGCCCAATTTTGCTTTATTCTTCACTAACATCATTCATTTTTTTCCCCTTGAATATAATTTAGCTTCTTTTCTTTCGTAAGTGAATTGGTTTGGTGGTGGCCTGAAGTCGCAGTCAGGAGCCTTCCTAAGGTGATGTATTAGAAGCCAATCTCACAGGAAAGAAAATATTCTCTTCTCTTGGAAGCCAAATGACAGAGATAGAGTGCTGAACCTCCCCCCTCCTGCTCTAGCCCAAGCTGACCTTCTGTGGCCCCTTGGTGCCTCTTGTTTTCTTATTTTTATAGAAAATCAATATCCCTTCTGACACAAATAATAGCTCAGAAGCAAGAATAAATGGTGGAAAGCTGAGATCTCTGTCCATCACCTCTCACTTTAACTCTCCCAAACTCTTTTTAATTATGAGCATGCTTTGCTCCAGGTGTTTGCAGCAGTGAAATTGCTAAATGAGGACCATTTTAACCAAAGATTGGGTGATCAATAACACTCTATAGCAGTAGCTTGTTGGATCAATAGCATTCATTATTTCATGGTTAAGGTAAGTAGCCTCCTTTGCAAGTGGAGGTCATTAATCAGGGGTTTACTGGAGCTGTGGAAAAAACTATATGTGGTAGGTTGAGGATGTTCTGTTTTCTATTCTGCAAATAGGGATGCTGACCAAGAGGATATTTACCATTGTTGCCGTTGTACCGTCTCATTTGAGGGTATTGCATAGCTGGCACAGTGTGCTTACATAGATTTATTCAAAGCTCTGCTACTATATGCTAAGGAATAACTGGGGGGAAAAAAAAACAACTTGGGAGGTGGATTTAATGTTGCATTATTGTATTTAAAGATCTGTCTCTTAAATGTTATGATTATTCTGTGACTCTAGAGGAAGGAACTAGAATTCATAGATACAAAGTGGAGAGTGTGAAGTGTTGCCTCACTATAAAATATAGCATTCTGAAAATTAAATCTCCATAAAAATTGAGTTGTTTTACCAGGTAGATCACTTCAAGTCTGGGCTTGATGACCACTTATTGAATTATAGAGTTGGAGAGGCTGAACTGAATGATCTATAAGGTCCCTTGTAACACTGAGATTCTATAATTGTTTTGTCACAATCTCCTTCACATCATTATAACTTCACATCTTAAAAACCATCTGGTAAGTAACCTCAGCCGCCCCCTAAAATATTTACGAAGACGTGCAACATTGCAAAGTCACATTGCCAGAGACCAGAACTTAAAGCTGACTTATTGCCAAGATTTTGTCAAACTCCAAGGCTGATAGAACTGGTTTGGAGAGTGCAGTAGGAAGCCCATAGAAGTGCTGAGCACACCCTGACTGTCAGTCCTGAGGCCCTGCATTCTTTCCCTGAGTCTACTCTTGGTTCAGAAAG